AAGGGAGGGGGGGGGGGGGGGGGGGTGTTGAGCGGTAGGGTGTACATCATGTTTTATTTTTATTGGCTCTAGTACTAATATTCTTATTTAATTTTGCAGACTAGACAAGAGTGCATCAATATTGGACCTGAGAGTGGAGTGCCTAGATCTGGAGAAGTTTTCTGTCATAAATCGTTTTGCTAAATTCCATGGCCGGGGTCAAAGTGATAGTGCTGAGACAGCATCAACCTCTGATGTCAAGTCAAGTGTTCATAAACCTTTCCTGCAGAGATATGTCACTGCTCTTCCAATGCCTAGAAATATTCCCGACAGGGTACAATGTCTATCTCTATAATTGTTATATTGATTGGTTTTCTCAGGTCAACTGTCTCCTTGGTTTTTTCTGTTTCCCCTTGGTTACGTACTGGCAGTTGCCTGGACACAAATAGGATTATAGTATGAAATTGCAGAAGGATGGACATGAAGTTGTCTCCTCATACATGATTGAGGCTGTTTGTTCTTTTGAATTTAGGCCATTGATGTCATTACCAAGAAATACCAGGTTCAGTTCATGTACACCTGTTTAAAACTGAGAAATTTCGGGTGCCCCATCATTTTGGCTGACCAGAGATAGAACAAGTGCGACATGGTATTTCAAATATATCTACAAGTAGAAAAATTTCTTTATATATAGCAGCAGGTATAAAATGTCTTTTGATTGACAAATTATGGAGCATATTTTTCAATTTGCAGATTAATGGGTTATTTCACTCTGGAGTCTTCTATAAACTCAGTTTATGATTTATGAGTTCTTTTTATGTGTAAGAAAGTTATTTATATACTTTTTGTTCTTGAAATGATCATACGTACAATCCCGAGCAATGTTTGTGCGTGCCACCGTCGACTTTTCTTTCAGAATTCAATTTTCACATCCTTCACGGCATTTTTCAGCGGGCGACTTTGACGTTCTTTCAGGATTCTGTGGTATCTTCGGTGTTGCTTAGTTTTAGAATCATATTTGATGGTTATCTCATATAAGATTGACTGAAAGTTGTAACAGGTTTCTTTATTATGATTCCACTTTTTAAAGGTTTCTGAATTTAAAGAAATTTTTGCCCCATTTCCCCCAAAGGTCATTCAGTTGTCAGGTATGAAAAAATTAGGGCTGAATTCCCCAGCATTTCAGTTGAAATGATTTTGAGTCCTTGACCTTCAAAAGAAACGTTCTATGCGTTCAATCTAAACTTATTTAAATTTGGGAATTTGGAAGCTAAAACCGTGAAGGATAAATCTTCTTGGACAAGGGCATATAGCATTTCCCAATTGCAAGACCACTTTGAGTCGCTTTATTGTCATGTACGATTTTCTCATTGATTCTTTTTATCATGATTTCCTTGGGGATTCAAATTAAGTCCCGTTTGGCCTTCATTCTCATTCTCATTCTTTTTCTCTCTTATTTTAAACAACACAATCTTTCATAAAATAATATTATACATAAATGAAAATTTTTTCATTCTTTTTCAACCATAAATTATTTAAAAAACATTATTTCAATCATTAAAATTTGGCAAGAATGAGGGCGAAACGGGAGCTAAATAATTGAAGAGATTAGCGATTTGGAACTTTACTCTCGAAGGTTAGAGACGTAAAACCTCTCTAAATAAGTTGTGGAGTCCAACACTAATTTTCTCATTTAGGATTTTATGATATATATGATGTTTAGTGACCATGGCCCACAAGTCTCCTCAGATATTATTAACTGTCCTACTTGCGACTATCTTACAAAGTTGTCACGAGGATGTGATAAAAATCCAACTCCAATATGAGAAAATAAATGTTCATGCACAACACATACTAAAATATCTACAAAGCAATATATTTCACTTCAACAATAAAATAAAACAGAATAGAAGTTTTATTTTATATCCCAAAATTAAGAGTTTTAAGATCCATACACTGGCCGGAGTCAATTTGAAGCTCGGAGGATTATAATATAATGTGATTTGTTGACGACCAAATGAAAATGTATCATGCTAATATAATGTTCGGGTTAATTTACGTACACATCCACTAATCCCACGGTGCCTTACATCAGTGATCCTGAGGGACTCGAACTGATGATCATTGTGAGCAAATTAAAAGTTTGACTACTGAAATATCCCTCAGGATTGTCATTTGAGTAAAATATGAACCATCTGCCTAGTTTATTGCCATAGGTCGATAATTGGTGTAAATTTTATCGCATTGTACAACGTGAATCCTTCTACAAATTAAAAAAAGGATTTTTGTGATTGAGACAAATATGCACATTGAAAATTTGAGATTAATTGAGCTGTAGATGGCTTATTCAGGTTACAGACTTTAATTAAATTATATTTTTCCAATATTTAATGAATTTATTAAAAATAAAATTCTGTTTCATAAGTATTCTAATGCATTTATTAATCGAATAACTTCAATCTTCAATTATTATATATGCCCATGGTTTATCGCTCACTGAGTACGACTCTTATGTCACAAAGGCGGATTTAGGTGGGGCTGGGCTCTCAGGCCCAATAGCTTTGTTTTTAAGGTATTTTTTTTTTATGGTAAAAAATCAGTTTTTTATGTGATTTTTTTTTCATAGAAGTCTAGTTTGAAATTTTGTAGCTCGATCTTGAATCTAAGCCTGGATCCGCCCCTGCTTGTGTACGTATTGGTTAGCAATTAAATTAAAAATAAATTCTCAGATTTCCTCGATATTAATATAAAGGAAAATTTTGTTGGTTAGATAAACTTTCAGATTTCCTCGCGGCTTCAATGTTATTGCACAACTATTCTCAGTGAAAGATTTCCATCTCAAAATACGTTTAAAAGTCAGTTTTTACTTGAAAAATGTTATATCTTTGTTTTAACTAAATTAAAAATAAATTGACATGAAAGGAAAATAATTTGAGAAAATGAAGGAAATGGTTGTGCCAAATTCACTAGTTTTACCCCAAATTCAATAATGCTACATAACACTAGACTAGAACACTAGTATGGGAGGTATAGTATAAGGAAAAATTTCATATATAAGAAATTAAGTATAACATATTTCAAAACTAAGAAACAAAGTTTAAAATTTCAAAAATAAGATTTTTTTTTTAAATTTTATTTATAAACTAATTAATTAAACATATATTTTATTAATTAAATATACTAAGATCACAATTCTATACAATTTGGTCACAAAGTGTAAATTAATTAGTCACAAATTATTCATTGACCACAATAAAAAATTTATAGATCACAAATTATTTCACGATCACAAATAATTTTTTTTATATATCATAATTTATTCATCGATCACAAATTTATCAAATTAATAGGTTACATATTATTCATAAGTTACAAATCACAAATTTTACAAGTCATAACTTATTTTATAATCACAAAATATCTAATTAATTAGTTACAAATTAAATTTCGATCGCAACTTATCAAATTATTGATTAGAACTTATTTTTCACTTACAAATAAAATTTCTTATAGGTTACAGATTATTTTTCAATGACAAATCAAAAATTTTGTAAGTCATAGATATCAAAACTTTTATTGTCACAAATTTTCGATCAAACTTTAATTTTTAGTCACAAGATATCCAAATGATTGGTCACAATCTCAAATAATTGGTCGCAAATCCTCCACCGTAGTACCAGCACTTCCAAAAAACTACCATTTTCAATTTCACCACTACCACTTAACCCACACAACCACTAACAAATCACCGTTTTCAACTACAAAACCACAACTGCCATTGACATATCCATGCCAGATCCACCACCAAAAGCCACCCACCACCAGATCCAACAAATCCCTTTCAAATCCACCATTTTAAACTACAAAACTAACACTGCGATCGACACATTTATGCCAGATTCACCACCACCACCATTTCTACCAACAAAAGCCATCCCTACCACTAGAGATGGATTGGGGGGCTGGGCTGGGCTATAGTCCCCCCACTTAGGCCCAAGAACATTTTTTTAAAGGTATTTTTTATTTTTTTGGGTAAAAAAATCAATTTTTTATGTGTAATTTTTTCCGTGAAGTAGTCTAATTTGAAATTTTGTAGCCCCAATCTTGGATCCAATCCTGGATCCATCCTGCCCACCACCAAATCCAACAAATCATTCTTAGATCCACCACCACACCAACAAAAACCATCACCAAATCATGATGCAGAGCACAGATGCCACCAACATTGCACTCCACCATCGTTGTCTTAGCAACGATTGCGAACCATTGGGCACCACAAATCGGTAAAACACCAAAACTTAGGATCTGGTACAGATCAGGGGCCCCTACGAGGTTGGACTGTACAGATCATTGCATCTTCTACACCTCTGCACGTAAAGGCTCTGTTGTCGTACCTACCATGTTGCTTTGTGCGTCAATGCAACGGTGTTGTGAGGGAGGAGAGCAGCGTCGTCGGAAGGGGTGGTGGTGCTGTGAGTGGCTGATAGAGTAAGACGAGAGAAGATGAAGAGAGGGAGATAATGGTGGAGAAGGTTTTAGGATTTGGGAAGAAAAAGACGTGGGTACGGATAGATATAGAGAGAGAAAGAAGAGGGAAAAATAAGGGGGATTCATTTAAAAGGCTTGGACAAACTAAACACTTGTTCAAGAAGACCAAGAACTAAGACTTTTAGTTGATAGACCTAAAGTTATTAAATATGAAAAATAGAATTTGTAAAAGACTAAAATATCCTTGTATGTGAAATGATGATATTGCCCTTATTTTCATTTCAATTTCCTGTCAACCTTAATCTCCTTCCCTCTTCTATGAACGACTCAACCACAGCAGATGCCTCCATGCTGATTTTCTTATCATCATTTTCTTCTCTACTTAATGAAATCACAAAATCTACATTCTCATTCCCTTGAACATTCATTTGGTTGAAGTGAATAATAAAGTCTTGCTATATTTTTATTGAGCATTTGGAGAAGAAGAGAGGGTATGGTAAATTTTCGATATTTGAGCCACTTTCTTTCTCCATTGTTTTGAATCATTCGTTCATGTTGTTGTATATGTGTTTGTGGTGTTCATTTTTCAATAATGATTTTGAATTTATTTTATGATTTGATTGGATTTAAAGGGTTACTTCCCAATCTTATTCTCATTACCCCTTATTTGTATTCCTTAGTATTAATTGAAGTGAAATGTAAAGTGGTGAAGGATGATTGGCTTTTTTCACATTGTTTTCACGTGAAACGTGTATTTGATTTTTTCAGTACAGAACGACATTCATATCGTTTTATGAAATTGTGAACGACATAGATATCGTTTTCTGAAATCCATGACAATGTACATATCATTATCAATACTATATGATGTTTGAAATTTGATGAAATTTATATGTTGAGTTACAGGTTATGAACACCATGGACATGGTATGGATATCGATTTGTTATCCAATTGAATATGAGCAGACAGTTGAAGGTAGATGGAAATGAAAGTATTCTGGAAATGGCAAAGGGAAAACAATACCTATTCTTGTTGCAAAAACAATTTCTTACATGGAACTATATGATAAAGTTAAGGAGGCATTGAATATCGATATGAGTCTATACAAAATGGAGATTTCAGCTTTTGTCCCGATAATGTCTAAAGCTCCAGTTGCACCAATCATAATTGATTGTGACAACAACGTAAAGTGGTTTATATCTGCCTGTACAGAAACTTTTCTTTGTGTAAGTATTTTAAATGAAGTTGTTGAGAATCAGGAAGATTTTGGTGATGAAGGATGTTTATTAGTAATAGATGGTGGAGAACAAATTGGAAATATGAACAACGAGGAGGAACAAGATCGAACAG